CATTGGTACAATAAATTTAAGCCACCAGAATCGGGGTTTCGAGATGATGACGCCAATCGAACCACTGAGCCCAAACACAAATCATCTGATTTCGGTTTTATTTGAACGATTTGACACTGAATGTGAGTAATCTTTCGGAGACGATGATTGAACACAAAAAATACCCTGATCTACTAGCTGCACATATGAAGAGGATGTTAGCTTATCTAGCTGGATGGTTCAATATTAGTAATTGGAACATTACTTTGTGTCTGTGACACAAAGTTTAGATAAGTGAGTGATAAATTAACAGATCTGTTTTCTTTTCCCATGTTACTATTGCATATTTCACATGTCATATATATATATATATATATATATATATATATATATATATATATATACTGCTTTTCCATTGAATACAAAGAATTATAAATGTTATAGAATAAACACAGGTAAGTGTAAAAAATAAGCCGCTAGCATTGTTTCAGTTGAATGGATACAGAAGCACGAGATTAGATAGATGTAAAAAAATCATTCGATTATATAGTTAATGGGAACTAATTTTATAAAATAAAATAAAAGTTGTGCGATTACCGGTTAGGAGAAATCATAAATCAAGTACTTTTTTAAAAATTTCAATTTTGAAAATGCCAAGAAAAACGTCATCATAGACCGGTACCCATCTTGTTGTGTTAATGAGGTATGGCAACTTGGACCGATGCATATATGTGCCTGGTCCTACGTTGTAGCTGACTGACTGAAGAAAAATTCTGCGCGTTTGATTTGTCACATAATTAACTAGTTGTATAATGTTATTCGTCTATTGTGTCCAAGTCCCTTTTATTAATAAACATGTTTACAACCTATCATGTAAAGAATTATTGCTGAATTCCAGCGGAACCATTACAATGGTTGGTCGGTTTTCTTTCTCGTATGGTCTTTGGAGAAATAAGAGGTGGTTTGACTCAAATTCATAAATTAAATATTACTGTGCAATGAAAAAGTATATCATAGGAACAAACCTGGACAAGAAATGTTTGTAGATGAAGATTTTTGTTAGATATTTTTTGGAATTTTAACAAGTTGAATAGGTATGAAACAAGAATTTATTGTAGTATTATGTATTAGTGCTGAGAACTTTCTAAAATCAACTGTATAGTATTGAATAAAACGAATATATTTTTTCTTTTTCTTCTTCGAAAGTAGTACTTTCGGAGAGAGCAGAATAACGTATTTAATTTTCTGTGAATACTAAAAGTTTGGGGTTATCAACTTAAGAAATAGAAATCAGGTCCTTTATTAATGAAGTTTTTTCCTGTGAAAATGAAACTAATATGATTGCTTCTTTTGTTACAAAATTATGAGGAGAATTTCAAAAGGTAACTTTTGACATTGATTTCATTAGAATTTGAGAATCGACTCCGTTTGTAAAATTAACAATCTGACCAACTTCTCCTCTGTTTTATTTCTTCACTGTGTTATTTTTTTATTTATGCGACCCACGGTAGTTTTTGGTGTCCATAATTTATGGGTATTGAATTTAAAAAAATACAACCTGTTGTATATTCCAGTTTTTTTTATCTGAGATGCACATGTTGCGTACTATTGAACATGACATAGAGGTTACTTAAACGAATATGAAGTGAAAAAGAATTTAACAGAAATAGACTGGTAGTGAGTGGTACTTGAATTTCAACTACTGCCATGTAATGTGCTGTTGTTAGTGCTGCCAGGTAATATAACAAGCAACTGTTGTACTTAGATTTATGTACCAGGCTTTGAATCACATATATGATTAGCTTAATTCAATATCAGAGTTTGCTACTTCGAAAAAGTAATTAACAGATATCAATGCATAGACAATACATATCTTTGGCTCAACGAGATGACAGTTGGAACTTCGGTTTCGATACCGATAGTAATTATTTCCTCACTGTACAGAATGAAGTTGAAACTTTCATTTAGATTTAACAAAAATTATACAGGAAACCAAGATGATGATTAATAAAGAGTAATGCACAAATTTAAACTATAGTACATTTATTAGACAATGGGATATTCCCAAACTGTAAATACGAAATATAAAATGATTCGGTCAGTACTAGAGAAAAACAATGTAAAATTTTACTGTAATAAATACAGAGAGAGAAGATTGTCTGATTCCCTAATTCATATAAATTCAGTAATAATTAAATCAAGTAATTACTGTTACTAACGATCCACATGAATAAATTGGGCGACTAAAACTATTAACTTTTTCATCAGAAAATTAGACTTTTAGTGAGATTCATACTAACATTTGTATGCTATTGTGCATCATGAAATTATATTTTGGGTATATTCATCAACCGTTTACCATTGAAATGGATTGAAAAGTACTCAAGATGTTAGAATATTGGCTTAATAGTCTAGGCATAAAGTTTCCAACCGATATCAATCGTATATCTTAACCCCGATTAACTTGTGCAGACAGGAAGTACAACTAACCTTCACACAAATATATGACTCATAGTTATGTACAAAAACTTGAGCTTTGCAAATAAACGAAATTTATTCGTTCGAAAGGGAAGTCTTTAGTTACTATTAAAAGTTCTAGTTACAACAATGAAAAACATCCTTATCAATTTGGAATATTCACCTGAAAATGTAAAAAGTGATACGTTGAAAATACGAAAATTAGGAAAAAAACATTTGCAGAACTACAATTTACGGACGAACCAACGAAATTAAGTCTTTCACTTTAGTATGTCATTGCTCAAACGTCGTTCATAAATTACAGTTATACGATAAATTGTTAATGATGTAAGAATAACTTAAATTAGTCAAGTATTCTTACTTTATAAAGAAAAAAACTTTTTCTAAGAAGCAAATACAACAAAAATAGCTAATATTCTTTTAACAAAATGATATAGGTATTAAGATAAGTGTAGCTTTATACACTTACATGAATGTAAACAATTAGAAATTGTACTACAATTCGACAGTTATGACGTCAATAAAAATAAGAATCCTATTTACGAACATAAACTGTCTAGTAAAATAAATAGCTCATTATTGAATCAAGAAAATCACTTATCTAAACAAATATCAAATCATTTACAGTGAACAGAATAGATTATATTAATTTATTGATGTATAATCTGCTATGCAGCTCAAAACATGAACACAATAACGGAGAGAAAAAAAGTTATAGTAGAAATTTTCATTTTTAATAGCTCATTAATTTGTACTGCTTCTGGTAATTGAGAAGATGAAGAAAGCTCAAACATTTTCTTTTAGTTCCATCTAATGACGATACAAAGTGTATATTCACTGAAGATTTCTATACATTCTCAAAAATCAGTCATAATTTATTCGAGCTTTAGGGTGTCAGATTTAAAACGATGATCGAAAAGAATTCTATTTACTAAAACAGTAGAACTAGATTATTATTTGAATAAAAAAACTCGTACCGTACACAATTGTATACCATTAAAACAGGATGAATTGATGTGTGATATACTCAGTTGTTAACTAGCTTTCAGATATCCTACTAGTATTTCATACATAACTACTTCAGTTTTAACATCTGGATGTATCAATAGCCCTCACAATTAGTGTGGCTTATATGCAAGTATCAGGTGAACAGGTTATTTTAAATTTTATCTTTTAGGTTAGATATTTTATATGGTGTGTGACAGCAAATATTGGCTTACATGGTTACGTGAACAGTTGACTTTTAACTATCTATATCTTACCACTGCACAATATAAATTATAAGTGAATAAAAAGAGAACGTTTTTAATCCGTATTCTACCCAGCAGTTTCTTCGAATTTATGACAATAAACTGGTTAGTGTTGACAAGAAATCAAAACAAAGTTGTAAATCTTATCAGCCAAGTATGTAGTTCTCTTTTAGCTGCACTTGTTAGTAGGTACCAGTGGAAATTGGGATGTGAATTCTTATTACGTGGATCTCACACCATTGCTAGTGTGTATGTTTTATATTACAACTGGAGTGTAGAATCCAATGGTTTAAACGCCGGTCATCAAGTGTTACTATAACTTGAAACGTTTTTCTGTCGGTGGTGTCAAGATTAAATTGATCAGTCTTTGTAAATATGTATAGTCTTCACTGATGCCCAAACACCATTTCACTGCTAACACGAGTAAAAATGTACTCTCGACTCACTGGAAAAATGCCATAATTCTATTGAATAAGATTGCAGTTTATATGGAAAGGACTGCCGAATATAAGTTATGCAGAGAACTAAAAAATATTAGTTACCATATAATTTAAATAAAACAAAACATTCCAAATAACCAGATAAATGATGTTAGATAACGAAAATATCGAACATTTATAAGAAAGATATTTTATTATTTACGAATTCGTATTCTGTCTGGGTGGTGTTTTGGTTAAATAACAGAACCACTGGATCGAACCACCTACTACTACTTCTGTTTAGACAACCAAGTAATAGTTCTAGTCACCAAAGGTTCACAACCAAACCTGTTCTTAGTTGTTAGGAAGGAGTCTTCCATAAACTACAGTACAATGTTTATTTGGTTTATAGCATGAAAGGTTTAGTACATAGTAGGAGGGCATCATGCGTTTCGTATATTTATGGGATACACAAAAACAAGGAATATTACGCAGCACTACCAAGAAAGAAATTTAAAAGGAAGGAGAATAATAAAATACACAAATGAAAAGATAATAGCGAAAAGACAAATAGAGTAATAATATAGAATATAGAATTTTCAAAATCTAATATCCGTTATGATACATGTGATAGTTATTCAGTGAAACTTCTTAAGGGTTATATACAGAATCTTTCCCCATTAATTGGGCATTGATACTTTAGATACTTAATAATCGACCATAAGATCATGAAGTTAGAAGCTATTACATTGTAAATGTGTGTACAATTAATCCATAGATAAAATATATTGCTCTTTTAAAAATGATTTCCTTAGCTGACACTAAATTACGAATAACATCGAAGAAATATCAATTACAATGAATACGGACTTACTTTGCAAGCTTCACATACATATGCTCCATGATGGAAACCGGCTGCCAACTCACCACACACTTGACATCTTTGCCCCTCCATTTTATTTTGATATTGATAGAAAGCTGATTCAGGACTACTGAATCCTGGTAATTGAACTTCGTTACAATTTACAAGACTCTTTTGACCAGAGTCAGTAATCAAGTTCACCGCTTCATCATTATTACAAGTTATAGGCGTTGTAACTGAATTAGACCCATTGTTACTACCAGTACGATCATATAATGCACTGTTTAGTATATTTTTAAGTCTATTCGGTGAAGAATTCGGTTGAGCTCTATCAACAGTATTATTGTTATTTATATTTGAGTGTTCTTTGAAATCACTTTTCAGTGGTTCATATGCATCATATGGATAACATAAACGATGCGATTTCGATAGAGGACTGAGACCTATTAGAACCTTTGAATCGGCCTGATTAGTTACAGGAAAACCAGCGCATGGTGTATGACCATTAGAAGTAAAACGTTTAGTCAGCGGATCACATAATGTATTAGGAAAGAAACAAGAAAAATCAGGTGTTCCCGTAAGCATACGTTCATTTGTATCAAATGTATTTATACATGTTGATGATGTATCAATGAAAGTAAGCGCATCAGCTGTAAAGTCTGATGAAGAGTTAACACTTGCGTTATCATTATCTAGTCGACCCTGAGATACAATACGAACTGGAGAATTGTTTAATATACGGTTATTACATCCTGGATTAAGAATATTATCTGAATGAAAATGATTACTTAAATTAGTCTGAGGTAGTGTAAGTTGATCCACTGATGAACATGATATATATCTTGTTGATTGAGATGAAATAGATTCATTTGTATCATTATTACTATTAATCTTATTGCTTTGTGGATGTGCTCGTAAAGATCCACACGTTTCGACAAGTTTCCGATTTTCAATAAATTGATCATCAACTATTTCATGTTCCTCAAATGATTCAGTTTTCCCTGAGAAAGATTCTAACGTAGAGTTAGTGGCGGTCGATTTACTGTTACACATCATCTCGTACGATGACTTAGAGATTGGCGCAGATTGTCCAGACAAATTCCCAATCGGCGAAAAACCACTATCAGCTTCACATTTAATTCTAAAACCACATAAATTTGTAGATGAATTATTTCCACCGGGTGATTCTTGTTTTTGCTGCTGGTGATGAGTAGAAATCTCACTTTCTACATCATTAGAAAATTGTGTTTGAATTGTAGGATGAGTAGAAGTATATGTAGGATAACAATTTCCATTTGAAGTTATACATGATAAAAGTCTACCAATATCATTAGTGCTAGATGAGATGACAATGGAATTAGACTCATCAGTACAGTTGTTTAGATCATTATTAATTACATTAGAATATGTATGTTGTTGAGTAGTACTTCCTAAACCGACTGAAGTGGAAATAGTTGGAGACGAAATAAGTGGATATTTGCCGTTATAAATGTTATTGTTGTTGTTGCTATCAGACATTTATAACATTTATTATTCATATAAGATGTATTGTAAATAAAAATTTAAGGCATTTGAAATAATTATCGTCCTAAAAGCTCATATGAAAAGTTGTTTAAATAAAGGACAATGAAGAGATGCAAAATTTTTTTGTTAAAAACTGATAACTCATCATGGGAAATGTGTACAATTGATAGTCAAACTGTCAAATGAATCCTTCTATGCGGATTAATTTAATACATGAATATATAAAAAGAGCACTGAAAACACCGGAAACCATTAAAAATAACATGTGAATAATTAAAAGTCACGTTACATGACAAATTATGAAACGCCCTGCGGAGATATTTTCTGTAACGAAAAAACATAAATAAATACTTATAAGCCACATTTTTTTCGACCAACTGATATAAAAAAAGATAAAACTGATAAGTACTACCAAAATGTGTATAATCTACAATAATTAGTAGACTTATCCACATCTATTGTGTATTAATGCATTCAAACCAATAAAAACAAAGTTCTAAACTGAAAGAAAATCAGCTGAAAGTTCAGTGTTTGGATTAATGAGTCGTAGTTTATAAACAAATTGGAAAATCACACAGGAATGTAATACAAATGATTTTTTTACGTTTTGATGTCAATTACCTGATTCCTTACGCTTTTATGTACTTCGTACTGTCCGTTGACTACAATGTATAATGACATTGAGTAAGACAGATGAATGTTTTAATTAAAAAAGTTTTAGTTTACTAAGCAGCAAAACATAAATGTTTGATCATTTGAATGGGTGTACACATTTAACCGGATAATTAACTAACATAACAAGTGGTAATTACATATATTCGCGCCATACTGAATGTCGGAATTTTTAAGTTAGCTCTAGTATGCAACAAAACAGGTTATTTAGCAGACAAATTAGTTACTATAAGAAACTAACTCTTTAACCGGATATGCTTCGGGAAGTAAAAAAGAGAAAAAGTGAGAATCTATATGCTATCCTGATCATAATTCTTGAAGGTGCGAAGGCTGTGGTAGTCATAGATTAGAAAAGTCAGTTCAATGAAAAACTATTCAAACACACACCACCAACGAGTAGGGTTCTTTAAGATAGAAGCAGTGAGATGTAAGGAAACACTTTCAGCATTATTAAAAACCACTGAGATATTCTGGTCGTGGCTGGCCTGGTAAACTGAAATCGTGGCCAACTTTACATTCGTTAAACGTATAGAGCCAAACAAACTACCGATCAAATTCTAAAGAGAGTAACAATTTCCTTAAGATAAGTCATGCCTCAGTGATGAACGCAAGCTAGCAGGAAACTTGGACTCAAGGTTTTCAGTCTACTACACCTAAAACGTGAACATACTAGAAACATCTAAAACACCGTGGAAAAGTCTGAGTGTCTAAGTGCTTAAATTAAAAGAAATCTATTAATCTATCACAACTATTTTCCCACTTTTTTCTGAGAATTCCAGTTTCCACCGACAAGTTAATTTGTTGCATTTTAGACGCGTTTAGGGGCGTTGAACCGAGTTTTTAATCCTACTGGGTCCAACAGTTTCGTTGATGAGCTAGCATAAGTGGGTCACAGTATTTCCAGTCATTAAAGAAACGTTGCGTAGGTTGTCACTTTGAAATACAAACCTAGCCACAGTTTTAATCTCAACAGTAATATCAACAGAAAGCATTATTATTGCAGGAAAGTATGACAAAACGTGAGGATAATTAAGATCAAAACAACACACCACTTTACCAAAAGGAACTTGTACCAAGCGCCTATTAATCCTAGGTCACAGTCAAATATGAGAGTGGCGAAGTGTTGCATATTAACTAAAACTTTATGAACAGCTATTTTGAATTGGAAGAACAAACGTCACGTCGTTTGATATTTATTCGTTCCGGACTTAACGGTTGAAGGTAGTTTGATAGCTCTTAACATAATTATATTCTGGTTTTCTATTTTGATCTACTGTAAGGACGGTAGGCCTGCTAACTTGTGTTAATTATTGTGATATACTTTTATTAAGGAACGAGTGTTTATTTGAAATATTTCATCAGTGGAACTTTTACCATTCATTCGAGTGGATTACCCTAGTTATTGACAAGGAAATGACAATCAGTCCGCTTTATAAGGCGAGAAGCAGAGACTTAGTAAGTATTGTCTTATTGATCTAACAATCGTAGTTGCCAAGAGAGTGGAAAGTGTTATATATTTATCAATCTCAAACTTTGTGAAAAAGCACAATCTTTTGTCTAGGGGACAACAGCGCTTCTGTAAAAGCCTATCATGCATGACAAATCTGCTTACTGCAAGTGATTGGGCTATAGTGAAAGACAGAAATATTCCTTTAGATGTAATATTCATAGATATAAGTAAAATATTTGATAAGATATCTCATCTGGGTTTTAAATTAGAAACGGAAAGTTTTCGTACCCATTATGAATTCGTAGATAGGATAAATGACATTCTCACTGATAGTAGATAAAGAGTACAAGTAAATTAAGCTCTATCGATGTCAGAATTTGTAAAATATAGGGTTCCGCTAACTGCGATTCTCGATCCTCTCATTTTTTTCCTTTATGCGACTCACTTATCAACCCTAGTAAATCCATCTGTTCTACTCTTTGCGGATGACATAAAGATTTGGAGGCATATACACAGTATGTCAGATAGAATAATATTACGGGATCAATTAAATTTGTAGTGGTCCTAACCTTACAACCATCAAAGCTGAATACGAGGCAGTCAGGGAAATAGATGTGCGCCATTTAACGCGGAGAATAACCTAACGAAGAAGAGGGCAGGAAGAATGAAGTGAATTAAGGGGGGTTGATTTTATGGCATAGCTCGGCCTTGCAGGCGTGGTCTCTGCTGAATGCTACTTAAAATATTCTACTCATATTAAATATATTGTTCTATCGTTAACCTAAGCTTGTTCTCCATCATGCATTGGTGATTGTTACGATACGATGAGTCAGTATAGACGATGGTGTGACTTCCACGTAAGCTCTTATAGATTAGTTATATCATGACAAATCTACAATTTTAGGATCAGGTCTGTTATTAGAGTAGCACTAATATCGTAATAGACCATAATTCTACCAATCCACTGTTTGCATGGGCGTGTAGCGGTAAATAAATCCGCAAAATAAACAGTTCAGTATGTCTTCATAATTATTAACCTCGTTAGTTTTAGTGGACTCACGTATTTGAAGACGCTCAGTCATGCATCCACACCAGTTCATGAATGGGTACGCTGTACTCAACTTCTCCTATAACTGCTAACCAGTTTGAATCAGTTGCTTCTCGATATATTGATGCCCTACCAAATATATCTTCGAACCTAATGGCTTCTGACTTCTGATTTCACTGTGTTGACACTTTTCGATTATAGGTGTTAGTCAAACTCAAAATACTTGTGGTATCTTTAGATGAATTTTTGGTCATTAGAAGTTAACTGTAACAAGAGTATAGTAATTCAGATAAATAACTGCAACGATTCATATCACTACATAATATGTAGAGCTGCGTTATCTAACGTAACAAACTATAAAGAATAAGGAGTCATAATAAGCAGTGACCTCAAAACTACGAGTAACTGCAAGCTGCAACTGCCAAAACAATCAGGGTTTTTTTGGGTTATTCCTTAGTCATTTCAGTATTTGGATGAATAAATGTTTCGGGTTTTATACCCGAATTTTGTGAGGTAGCATGTGGAATATTGAATTTAAGCAGTAAGTCCTTGTTTCAAGAATGGGGTGGATATGCTAGAATGAGTTCAATGGTGAGAGACTTAGCTGGTAAAAGGCCTCTGCAGACTATCTTATGAAAACAAACTGCGACACTCTAGCTAATTTCTATTATCTTACCGCAGGTTATAAGGCTATTTAATATTTACTGAACTATGATCTTGGTATTAAAGCCTTATCTTTCCCTTGTGTCTAGGACTGTTCATCTGAGAGAAAAATCAAAAACCGTGATCTAATCGCTTACGTTCGAGGTTCTGCTTTCCGCAACGAGCGTTAAATAGCTTGAACCCTCTATCAAAACACATATTATTCTCACCTCCTGATTATACATTCAAAGCGAGATTGGATCTCCGCAGAGTTACAAATTACAGGGAATTATATGGGTCGATATACCTCCCATCCTTACTACTGAAAACTGAATAGGGATTACAACGTGCGACTTTGAGCCTTTTGCTTCACTAGGGCTACTAATGGTACTAAGCCCGGATAAATAAGGAAGGTTGAGCGTGGGGTCCCGTAAAAAATGACCTTGCTAGAAAAGTTGCTAATGAGAATAGACCAATAGTTCCGTATGGACTTTGCGCTCCGAGCTGAAGGAAGAATTACGATACCATAAGGTGAAAGCCGATATTCGTCAGAAGTCACGAGGCCGATGTTCTTTCTAACAACCAGAGGAACAAATAATATAATTAGTATAAATTGAGAAGATTTAAGTGCGATAAGACTCGAACCGTCAGTGTTAACACGGTGTGTTACCACTTGGTTGCCTCTCATTCTACTATAGGGGTGAAGAACGTATGTTATTCAGTTGCCTTTCAAAAGGATGCTTGGAAAGACTTTCTGTGAACATTGCATTCAAACCCTAAACAACTTCAAGTGTACCAGTATCTTCCATAAGACGTGAAATAGCTTCACATGCGCTGCTCTAAGCAAGGTGTAAACTCCGTCTGGAGCCCCTCCGGGGCTACTGCCGGTCCCAAACCCGGATAAAGGAGGAGGGTTGGGCATGGGATTAGCGACCCCATTCCGTAGAAAACCAATTCGCTAAAAATACGTTAACCGGAAAAAATTATTTAAACCTTTTAAACTCTGCCCTGGGGGTCAGAAGGTCTTCATTTAGAAGAACTATGGCGCCTCATGATGAAAACCGAATTCCTTCGGAAGTCACGAGGCCGATGCCCATTCTGACAACCAGAGCAACCATTTATTTAGGTACATGGAATGTTCGTACAATGTGGGACACCGGAAGAGCACCACATACACAATGAGTTGCATTGATGCTGTCCAAGCAAGCACGAAATGCACTGATAGGATGGGAATCTCATGGACCAAGGATCATCAAAGCCTCCTTCAAAACAAAGAAAGAGGGCATTTCAATGAACATCATCCAATGCTATGCGCCTACCAACGACTACAATGAAGACGCTAAGGATCAATTCTACAATAGGCTGCAGTCAATCGTCGAGAAGTGCCCAACAAAGGACCTGGCCATTCTGATGGGAGATTTCAACGCCAAGGTTGGAACGGACAACACTGGATATGAAGACATCATGGGACGACACGGACTGGGAGAAAGAAACGAAAATGGTGAGAGATTTGCAAATCTATGTGCCTTCAATAAGCTGGTCATAGGTGGCACTATATCCCCACATAAGTGCATTCACAAAACCACATGGACTTCACCGGATCACTCTACACAAAACCAAATCGACCATATCTACATCAACAAAGAAGCTCAGGAGGACGATGGAGGATGTGAGAACCAAGAGAGGAGCTGATATAGCATCAGATCATCACTTACTGGTTGCCAAGATGAAATTGAAACTCAAGCAGTACTGGCAAACGGGGCGGACAATATCACAAATGTTTAATACGGCTTTTCTTCGGGATACTGACAAACTCAACAAATTCAAGATAGTCCTCAGCAACAAGTCCTAGGCCTTTCATGATCTACTCAACGGAGAAGGAACTACTATGGAGAGCAACTGGAAGGGGATCAAAGAGGCAATCACTTCAACATGTCATGAGGTCACAAGAAGCACCACCACAAGGAATGGATCACTGTTGATACACTGGATAAGATTCAAGAAAGAAGAAACAAGAAGGCAGCGATCAATACCAGCCGAACAAGAGCAGAAAAAGCTAAGGCACAAGCTGAATACACGGAAATAAACAGACAAGTGAAGAGGAGCATCAGAACCGACAAACGTAAATATGTGGAAGATTTAGCAACGACGGCGGAAAAGGCTTCAAGAGAAGGAAACATGAGACAATTGTATGACACGACAAAGAAACTCTCTGGAAATCGCCGCAAACCAGAACGACCAGTGGAAAGCAAGGAAGGCAAGGTAATCACCGACATTGAAGAGCAACAAAACAGGTGGATAGAACACTTCAAAGAACTCTTGAATCGACCAGCGCCACTGAACCCACCCAACATCGAAGCAGCACCCACGGACCTCCCAATCAATGTTGGCCCACCAACAATTGAAGAAATCAGCATGGCCATCAGACAAATCAAGAGTGGCAAAGCAGCAGGACCGGACAACATCCCAGCAGAGGCACTAAAAGCAGACGTAGCTGTAACTGCAAGGATACTCCACATTCTCTTCAATAAGATTTGGGATGAGGAACAAGTACCAACAGACTGGAAAGAAGGACTTCTGATCAAAATACCGAAGGTAGGCGATCTCAGCAAGTGTGATAACTACAGGGGCATCACTCTTCTCTCAATACCAGGAAAAGTCTTCAACAGGGTATTGTTAAACAAGATGAAGGACTGCGTAGACGGCCAACTTCGAGACCAACAGGCAGGATTCCGTAAGGATAGATCGTGTACAGACCAAATCGCAACTCTACGGATCATTGTGGAACAATCAATTGAATGGAATTCATCACTCTACATCAACTTCATTGACTACGAGACAGCATTTGATAGCGTGGACAGAACAACACTATGGAAAATTCTTCGACACTACGGCGTGCCTCAGGAGATAGTCAATATCATACAGAACTCATATGATGGATTACACTGCAAAGTTGTGCATGGAGGAC